CTCAGCGACGAGCCTCCTCTTCCCACTGGTTCACCGGGGACACCTGGGGTGCACGACACAGATTCATATTGAAGGAGACAGGAATCGTAGCCACCTCCACCAGCCCATCTTCAGCAGCTCCCCCGCCCAACCCTGTCCCTGCTTCTCACCTGTCACAGGCCTCCTTGGTGACCTCTGGGAAGGGCTGCAGCAGGGCTACGGCGCCATTGTTCACCAGCAGGTCCACAGGGCCCACACCACCCAGCATCTGCATGGTGGCCTCCCAGTGGCCCAGGTCCACGCACACAGGATCTGACTCGTGGCACTGTGGGATGCTGGGAAGTGGCCTGGGCGGTGGTCCGGCCAGGAAGCATCCCTGGGGTGGGGGTAGATCCAAGCCTCACTGAGCTTCATGCTTCATCTCCTTGGGGAGGCTGACCAGGTCAGCGCTGGTGCAGCTCACGGCCCACACTTTGGCTCCCAAGGTATGCAAGGCCTTTGCAGGTTTCTGCCTGTTCCCCGGGAGGCTCAGGGGACTTGGTGGGTAAATGGCGCCGTAAGTCTGTGGTCAGGAGAGCAGGCGGGAGTAGGAGCTGCCACCCCTGCTGCCCAGAAATGAGCAGTGAGAGGGCGGAGGCCCAACAGTGGGCAGGGCCCGGGTCCGAGACCCAGCTGACCAGCAGGAGGACCAAGGAGGCCCCAAGGGCAGCCCCTCCCACTGGGCCACAGGGAGGAGACCTGGCTGTATACCGCCTGTGTAGCCTGGTTCTAGGGGTCGCCCTGGGGAGAAGACAAGCTCACTCCTCTCTTGGGGGTCTTGTGTTGACCAGGGAGGGGCTTGCTAGTCCTGCTGCTGAGGGAAGCCTGACAGGCCAGTAGTACTCAGGCCCCGCCCCGGGGCCTCTGTGAGTCTTGCAGCCTGGCCACCTTGCTCTCCCAGCCAACCCCTCCTGCACCTCCAGCTCTCCCTGCCCGAGTCACCAGGATCCACAGGCCACTGAGCTTCAGCCACATGGTGCTGCCTCCCAGCCTGGGCCTGCAGTGAAGAGAGGACGGGTAGGTTTATAGGTCTGGGCTGGGAGGTGGGGGTCAGGTGACAGGAGTCGGGGGCCACCGGGAAGTGAGCAGGGCAGAACCACTCCCCTCAAGAGGTAGCCCTTCTCACCCACTCCCCAGGCCTGCCAGCCAGAAGCTCCTTCCTGGGTTCTGGAAAAGAAAGAAAAATTGGGGCCGGGTGTGGTGGCTCACACCTGTAATCCTAGCACTTTGGGAGGCCGAGGTTGGTGGATCGCCTGAGGTCAGGAGTTCAAGACCAGCCTGGGCAACATGGTGAAACCCCATCTTAAAAAAAAGAAAGAAAAATTAGATTGCATGTGTGTGTGTGTGCATGCAGGTGGCGTGGCTGCAGAGAGCAGTGCTGTTGGGAGACAGGGCAGTAGAATGTTGGTGTCTTTCCTTTTTTTTTTTTTTGTCTGAACAGAAATATTACCCTGTGACAGCTTCTACTGGAAGAGGAATCCTGGCTGCGCCATCAGCTGGGGGCAGGGCAGTGGACGGCATGGGGATCCAGTTGTCTGTGCCCCAAGCTGCCAGCTCTCTGGTGAACCCCAGTGCCCTCATCAGGCTCTGCTGCCCTGGGGGACAGGGCACTGCCCAGCAAGCAGCAGTGTGTGTCCCTTCCTGAGCGGAGGGCACACCCTGCTTGTGGCTCACCCCTGCCAGCCTTACTCCAAACCCCATCACAGCCCCTAACTGGGGGCTGAGGCAGCCTCCAGAGTCTTCCTCACCAGGTTCCTCCTAGGCGCCCCTCACCGGCCCCTAGTCAGCCACACTGAAGTTTAACTCTTACAAAACAAAGCCTGGCCAGGGGCAGGCAGGGGCTGTTCTTCCCCGGAAGTCCTCCCCTGGTGCCCTCTATCTCCTCCATGGGGAACTTTCCACCCCCGTGCAGATTGGTGGACCTTTCAAGGGGTCGGGGGCCATTTGGCAAAAACAGATCAGACGACACGTGCCCCCTTCCTCAGATGTGCCGCTGATTCTGATACTGTGGGTAACCCCCCATATAGGTACAAAGGAAGGAGAGATAAGCAGAATCCTGGCACAATTAAGACCTGGAGCATATCTCAGTTTATAATGTTACTACTCAGTTATTTACATATATATATAAAAAACTATATCTTAGTTTATAATCGGAGGAATGCCTAGAGTGGACACAGTACAGAGCATGAATTAAGGAATAAGCAGCTTATAATCAGAGGAACGCCTGGAGTAGACACAGTGCAGAGCGTGATTTGAGGGAAAACAGTTATACCAGGACAAGAACCCACGGCCCAGGCGGCAGCGTTCAGTATTGTAAAGATACCGCTGTATGGCAGGCTTGGGGCGAGAGCCACTCCTCCTGATAAAGGGGTTGTAGGGGCTGGGCGCGGTGGCTCACGCCTGTAATCCCAGCACTTTGGGAGGCCGAGGCGGGTGGATCACAAGGTCAAGAGATCGAGACCATCCTGGTCAACATGGTGAAACCCCGTCTCTACTAAAAATACAAAAAATTAGCTGGGCATGGTGGTGCGTGCCTGTAATCCCAGCTACTCAGGAGGTTGAGGCAGGAGAATTGCCTGAACCCAGGAGGCGGAGGTTGCAGTGAGCCGAGATCGCGCCATTGCACTCCAGCCTGGGTAACAAGAGCGAAACTCCGTCTCAAAAAAAAAAAAAAAAAAAAAAAAGGGGTTGTAGGACCTTGCTCCAGTTCTTGTGGAAGGTGCCCTCGGACCGGCAATCCACCTTGGTGACTGAACTTTATCAGCTCTTGCTACTGTGCTGCTCGAAAAGCATCTTCCCATAGAACCCATTGGAAGCTGCCAGAAGGTGGCGGTAACCCTGACAGCTCTGTCACTGCTGTGTGACTTAAAGCATCCTCCTATAAATCTTCTTAGAAGTAGTTTCCCATAGATAGAAGTATCGCACACTGCACCCTCTTCACTGCGCACGGCCCACCTTCAAGCCTCGGTGGCCTAATGGGGGTGGACCCCTTACTGCGCACAGCCCTTGCCTCAATGACCTAATGGGAATGGACCCCTTGCTGTACACGGTCCACCTCCCAGCCTAGTGACCTAATGAGGGTGGACACCTTGTTTCATTGCTCACGACCCTATCAGTATCCTTAAAGATGACCTCACTCACTGCCCTGCCCCCAACCTATACACAATAAGTACTCACGCTTCTGGACATTCGGGATCTCGCCTGACTCTGCTCATAGGTGGCGTGGCCCCCTGAGCCCAGCTGCGTTTTCCTTGTACTTCTGTGTCCTGTCTCTTTATTTCTCGGATCCTGCCTCAGCACAGCATAAGGGACACCCCATGACCCTGTGGGCCATCAGCTCTACAGATACCAACTCACTTCTGGGGCTGAGTCTGAGGGTGTGTCTCAAGCACATCCCTGTTTGTGGGATGAATGCCACTGTCCAGGAGTTCAGGGCAAATCATATGACACCTCCACCTGGCAGGAGACACTGAGGGCCCTCCCAGGACAATTTGTCCTATTGAGATCCCTGGGAGGGCACAGTGCTTGACCTTGTGATAAGTTCGTGGGTAAGATGCAGAAAATCCTTGCCTGGGCAGGGTCTCAGGCCGCACACCCAAGCTGGGCTTTGCCCCCAGTACTTGTCAGGAATGTGTTTTTGTTTTGTTTGAGACAGAGCCTTGCTCTGTCACCCAGGCTGGAGTGCAGTGGTGCAGTCTTAGGAACCTCTGCCTCCCGGGTTCAAGCGATCCTTCTGCCTCAACCTTCCGAGTAGCTGGGACCACAGGCACATGCCACCATGCCTGGCTAACTTTTAAAATTTTTTGTAGAGATGGGATCTTGTTTGGATGCCCGGGTCTTCAACTCCTGGCTCAAACGAGCCTCTAGACTCAGCCTGTCTAAGTGCTGGGGTTCCAGGCGTGAGCCCCACGCCCGGCCAGGGATTCTTCCAGCTGTTGCGTGTTTCTGTTCCAGTTATTTGCTCTAAGACTGAGGGCAGTGGCCGGGCGCGGTGGCTCACGCCTGTAATCCCAGCACTTTGGGAGGCCGAGGCGGGTGGATCACGAGGTCAAGAGATCGAGACCATCCTGGTCAACATGGTGAAACCCCGTCTCTACTAAAAATGCAAAAAATTAGCTGGGCATGGTGGTGCGTGCCTGTAATCCCAGCTACTCAGGAGGCTGAGGCAGGAGAATTGCCTGAACCCAGGAGGCGGAGGTTGCGGTGAGCCGAGATCGCGCCATTGCACTCCAGCCTGGGTAACGAGAGTGAAACTCCGTCTCAAAAAAAAAAAAAAAGACCGAGGGCAACCACCCTGGGCTCGCCGTGAGATGCACGTGTGCTGAAAATCCACAGCTCACCTGACCCCGAGGCCCCTGCTCAGGCTGCTGGAGCACAGAGGGGGTGTGAATTTCCAGTATGGGGTCTCCATTCACAGCCGGGGTCCACTACTCCTCACCATACCGCTGATTCACTTCCCCGGGAACAATCACCCTGCAGGTGGCTGCAAGTGCCTTTGGAAGGCTGGAGATAGAATTACCGGGAGGTTCTGGCTGTGGAATAAGATCCTTTCTTGATTCAAGGGGCCCTGGGTCTGCAGCCCAGGGATTAAGAGCCTTATCTCAATGACATCTACAAAGTCCCTTTCCTAAACAAGGGCATGGTCGCAGAGTCCTGGGATTCTAGTTGTGGAACCCGAGAGTGGGTATGAGGTCGTCTGAATTTGTAACCAGCTGGTGTGCAAGGAGAGCGGCCTTGGGGACCCCCAAGCTTGCAGCGGCTCCCTGCACCCTCAGACCGTGTGGTTGGCTGGACTCCTTTGCAGCAAGCCAAGCTCACACTTGATAACAACCCCCCACCACCTCAGCCCCGAACATAACAAGGTTCATTTTTCACTCATGCTGCAGGCCCAGGGCTGGCCACTCAGGAGCCGGGGCTGAGGGAGGCTCCACCATCTCGTAGCTGCGCTGGCTGGCCTGATTAGGGTGCGCATCCTCGCTGACCTCGGAGCCGATTCCTGATGGGCAGCACTAAGCTTCCTTCCCTGGACCCAGGGGCAAGAGGGACTTGCTAAGCTGCTCTTGCTAACTGCAAACACCACCCCCGAGTTCAAGCAATTCCCCGGCCTCAGCCTCTGGAGTAGCTGGGACAACAGGTATGTGCCACTACACTTGGCTAATTTTTGTATTTTGGGTAGAGACGGGGTTTCACCAGGTTGGCCAGACTGGTCTCAAACTCCTGACCTCAGGTGATTCACCCACCTCAGCCTCCCAACAGTGCCCCTGACACTTGTCAGGAATGTGTTTTTGTTTGCTTTTTTGTTTGTTTTTCTTTTGGGACAGGGCCATGCTCTGTTGTCCAGGCTGGAGTGCAGTGGTACAGTATCAGCTCACTGCAGCCTCCACCTCCCTGGCTCAAGCAATCCTCCTGCTCGGCCTCTAGAGTGGCTGGGACTACAGGCTCATGCCACCACACCCGGCGAATTTATATATATGTGTGTGTGTGTGTGTGTGTGTGTGTGTGTGTGTGTGTGTGTGTGTATATGTATATACATATATATATACATTTTTTTAAATTTTAAATTTTAATTTTGGAGACAGAGTCTCGCTCTGTCACCAGGCTGGAATGCAGTAGCACAATCTTGGCTTACTGCAAGCACTGCCTCCCAGGTTTAAGAGAGTCTCCTGTTAACTTGAGAAAGTTCTGCACCTGGAGGAAAAAAAAAAAGAGACTCTCCTGCCTCAGTCTCCCGAGCAGCTGAGACTATAGCCACGTGCCACCATGCCTGGATACTTTTTTTGTGTTCTTAGTAGAGACAGGGTTTCACCATGTTGGCCAGGCTGGTCTTGAACTCCTGACCTCAGGTGATCCACCTACCTCAGCCTCCCAAAGTGCTAGGATTACAGGCGTGAGCCACTGCGCCCGGCCCAGGATGGTTTTGATCTCTTGACCTCAGGTGATCCACCCACCTCAACCTACCAAAGTGCTAGGATTACAGGCATGAGCCACCATGCCCGGCCTAATTTTTGTATTTTTAGTGGAGACGGAGTTTCACCATGTTGGCCAGGCTTGTCTTGAACACCTAACCTCAAGTGATCCACTCACCTCAGCCTCCAAAGTGCTGGGGTTACAGGCATGAGCCACCCCACTTTGCCTAGACTCAGAAAACAAATAAAGGTGCATCCCTGCTCAGATTCTCAGCTGCCACCTGGTAATGCTCTTCATCACAAAGCCACCCAGCCTGGGGTGCCGTGCTGCCTTTGGGCCTTCCCCATCTGCAGGCTCCCTCACTCCGAGTGCCCCACACCTGCTTTTGCCCTTTGTGACTTGGAGACTTCTTTATTTATTTAAGGAATCCGATAGGTGCGCAGTTCCAGAGTCTGGGGGGAGGCCCTTCTGAGTGGTGGGATTACAAACCCAAGGCTCAGGCTTCCAAAGTTATGCCACAGTTTGGGTGGCCAGGGCGGTCCTTCCCTGATATCGCTCTCAGAAGACCCAGTCTCTCAGGTCTAGATTGTGAAGGATCTGGTTGTCCTCAGTGGACCATGAAAAACTGTCTTTACTTTGGTGTAAGGCCTGAAAGCCTTGTAGTGTTTAGTCATCTCCAGGTTGGGGAGCAGTAGATTCCTGAAATTTTGTTTTCAAGGGCACAAGCCTTCCCGTGCCTGCTTCCTGAAGGGCACTTAGATTTCCCTTGGAAGAGGATCTGGCGGTCATCAATTGCAAGACCTTCGACCATGGCAATCCAGTCAACCCAGTCAGCTTCGCCTGATGCTATTACATCTGTCAGATCTTATTTTTTTTTAAATTAAAGGTGGGGTTTCACCATGTTGGCCAGGCTGGTCTTGAACTCCTGACCTCAGGTGATCCACCCACCTCGGCCTCCCAAAGTGCTGGGATTACAGGCGTGAGCCACCGCGCCCGGCTGTCAGATCTTATTTAACTGTTTTACAACTTGGACCTGGACGACCTAGACACTTTCTTTGGAGGAGGAGTCTCGCTCTGTCTCCCAGGCTGGAGTGCAGTGGTGTGATCTTGGCTCACTGCAACCTCCACCACCCGGATTCAAGCAATTCTTCTGCCTCAGCCTCCTGACTAGCTGGGATGACAGGCACCTGCGGTCACACCTGGCTAAATTTTGTATTTTTAGTAGAGACGGGATTTCACCATGTTGGCCAGGCTGGTCTCGAACTCCTGACCTTAAGTGATTCGCCTGCATCGGCCTCCCAAAGTGCCAGGACTACAAGTGTGAGCCACCACGCCTGGCCTGGCCCTAAACACTTTCAAAGATGACAGGCCAGTTATTTTGTAGAAAATTCCGCAGTGTAGATTTGCCCAGCGTTTCCTCAGAGATTCCGGCTGTGCTTCTCCATCAGGAACATCATGGAAGTGACATGGTGTTCTCAGTGTGCCCCACCACCGGGTGCACAGTTGCTTTTTGTTTTGGGGGGATTTTTTTGAGGCAGGGTCTGTCACCCAGGTGGGAGAGCAGGCTCATTATAGCCCAGCCTCCCAGGGGCACAAGTAATCCTCCCACCTCAGCCTGCCGAGTAGCTGGGACTACAGGTGCATGCCACCATGCCCAGATAATTTTTTATGTTTTTGTAGAGATGGGGGTCTTTCTGTGTTGCCAAGGCTGGTCTCAAACTCTGGGCTCAAATGATTCTTCCCCTTCAGCCTCCCAAAGCGCTGGGATTCCAGGTACAAGCCACCGCGTGCGTCCAGGTGCATGCTTTTCGTCTCTGCTCATGAAGTTGCTTTGATCACAGGGTGGAAAGTGCGTCCCTGGGGGTCGAGCTTTGACCACGCCTCACTGGACTGACTTCCGGGTATGAAAACAATGCGGCCGCTGCCTCACTCCTGGCCTCCAAATCACAGGCAAATGTGTCTCCAGGCCCATATGACCGGCAAAGCAGGGAACTGGGACCTGGGGCTCTGCCCATGTAATGTGTGTTGACCCAGTGCGAGCCCACTGCAGCCCACCCTCCTCAAGCTGGTCCCCATGATGCACCTCTTTGTATTGTATATATTTTTCATTTTCTGTGTTTTGATGTCTTTAAAAAAAAAAAACAAACAAAAACCCCTTTCTGGCTCCTGGGGCAGGCCAGGACTCAGGGCTAGCAAAGGACTACCCACTGCTCTGCCTTCATCACCCCGGACCAGGGTTGGGTATGCAAAAAAGGTTAAAGCAAAGACACCACTCACAGGTGGGCACGACAGTGTAGAAAACCAATTAGGGGCCAGCGCAGTGGCTCACACCTGTCATCCCAGCACTTGGGGAGGTCAGAGCAGCCGGATCACTTGAGCTCAGGTGTTTGAGACCAGCCTAACTGACAAAGTGAAACCCTATCTCTACAAAAATAGCCAAATTACCCGGGCACCTGTAACCCTAGCTTCTCGGGAGGCTGAGGCAGGATAATCGCTTGAACCTGGGAGGCGGAGGTTGCCGTGAGCTGCAAAGACGCCACTGCACTCCAGCCTGGGTGACAGAGCAAGACTCCGTCTCACAACGAAAAAGAAAAAAAAAAAGAAAACCAATTAGGAATGGTAGGTATATGTAAAATAGGTGAAGGGTGGGGATCAATTAGAGGAAGATGCGCCCAACAGGAAGACAGCTTCTTAGTCCTGTCCGTGGATCTACCAGGGACTCGCAGCTTGGCTTTCAGGCTTTAAAAGATCTTCTGCGGCCGGGCGCGGTGGCTCAAGCCTGTAATCCCAGCACTTTGGGAGGCCGAGGCAGGTGGATCACGAGGTCAAGAGATCGAGACCATCCTGGTCAACATGGTGAAACCCTGTCTCTACTAAAAATACAAAAAATTAGCTGGGCATGGTGGTGCGTGCCTGTAATCCCAGCTACTCAGGAGGCTGAGGCAGGAGAATTGCCTGAACCCGGGAGGCGGAGGTTGCGGTGAGCCGAGATGGCGCCATTGCACTCCAGCCTGGGCAACAAGAGCGAAACTCCGTCTCAAAAAAAAAAAAAAAGATCTTCTGCTTGACGGTCAGATTTCTCTGGGAGCCCATCCTTGTCTGCGTAGGAATTTGTCTGCCTCCAGGCACTATAAAAAAAAAGTATATATATATATGCTTTTTTTTGAGACAAGGTCTCATTCTGTCACCCAAGATGGAGCATAGTGGTGTGATCTTAGCTCACTGCAGCCTCCAAATTCTGGGCTCAAGTGATCCTCCTGTTAAAACATGCACTGTGAACAAAGAGACCCCCAACAGGCTTTGTGTGAGCAACATGGCTGTTTATTCCCCTGGGTTCAGGGGAGCTGAGGCTGAAAAGGGCGTCAACGGAGCGCTGTGCGATAGGAGTTGGTTTTTGTTTTGTTTTGTTTTAAGACGGGGTTTCACCGTGTTGGTCAGGCTGGTCTTGACCTCCCGACCTCAGGTGATCCACCCATCTAGGCCTCCAAAGTGCTGGAATTACAGGCGTGAGCCACCACGCCCGGCCTGGAGTTGGTTTTATAGGTTTGCGGTAAACAGTGGAAAATTACAGAAGTAACTTTAGGGCAGTTTTTTGTAAGTTGGGAGGGATCGTAGGGTGCGGAGGTGGACCAAGGTCAGGTACAAAGTCGAGTGGCCTTATCAACTGGGGCGGGAATATGGAACAATAGAGAACGTCTTAAAGGTAAGTAGGTGCCTCGGGGTTGATCATTTCTTCCTGTTTTCGTGGTCTTCCAGTTACTTTAGATTTTTCCAGGAACTCATCTGGAATGTCCGTGCAGGTCGCAGAGGTCAGCATGGCATCTATGGGGCTGTCAGTCGGCTAAAAGACCTTACATTCCTGTGTTTTTCTGTTAGTAAAATAAAAAGAAATGAAGAGTGGAGGACAGCGGAATATTAGGAAGGCCGGCACAGAGGGTGATGGGGTGATGTTTCTTAGGGCTTCTTCGAGAGGGATTGTGGGCGGCGCAGAAACCTAAAATGGAAATAATTTAGACTGCTGGGAGACCTCGGGCAAGGGGTGATATTGTGGGGCTGTCAGAAGGGGCGTTTTTCGTATTGACTGATTGGTTATCGCTTGTATATGATTTTGTAGGAACTGAGAGTTAAGAGAAGAAGAAAGATAGGTATCGGA